AGAGGGAGAGTCTTATCTGATGCTGGCAGTAGGCTACTGATCGGTTTGGTAAAAGTCCAGAGGAACATAGATTTTATCAGTTGTGGTGTCATAAGTCAGGTGTGAGCTATTACTTGCCAGTAGACTGAGGATTTGGGCGGGGGGGGGGGGGGGGGGGGGGAGTGAGGTGTAGCTGCTGCCAGAAAAGTTGGTCTGTAGGGTGCACCTTCCACTCTGGAGAAGCCGAAGTTTCCTGCCCTCCTTTTCACCTCCTCCTTGCTGGATGCTTCAGGTGAGATTGCACAGCTGTGAGAGCTGCACCCAGTATGTTTGAAGTGGCTGGCCCAGGTAGAAGTTCTAAAGTAGAGTTCTTACCCTCTGGCTTCTTCTGCTGCCCAGCCTTGGAGAATGCTCAGAAACATCATGCCATCATAAGAGGGTAAAAGGAAGTAAGAAGTGATGGTTTGAAAAGAAAAGGGAGCTGCCACCTGCGACAACTCCACAGAACTCAGAAAGTTATATTCCATTAACAGTACCAGCCATTGTATTATACTATGCTCATTCAGTTGCCTGTGTACAGTATCACTTTATTTCATAGATGATGATGATGATGATGATGATGATGATGATGATGATAGAAATAATAAACTAACAAGGCAGACTAACAACCAGACAATCTGATCACAATGCAAAACAGGAAATGTTTTTTTTTTTAAATCAATAGTACTGTGTTGAAATATGGTTAAAATGGAGTTAAGGTATAATAAATACAGTTAAAACTTGCAAAAGGGGAGCAGAAATGGGACCATCTTAATCTCTCTTGGGAGGGGCTCCAGAGTCTGAGAATAGCCACCAAAAAGGCTGTGTTCCCATGAAATGCACTTGAACAGATGGTGGGACAGAAACATATATGAATCCACAAATAGTGTAAGCCTAATACTTTTGTGAAAAGTACACTTTGCTGTATTGTTTCTAGAAACAAATTTTGCTTTGGCTGGGCACAGCATTTCTGTGTTTCTGCTGATTTGAGGGAAATACCCCTGCTGTCATCCAACTTAAGTAAGGCTTGAAAAGAAAATATTAACTTTCTATTTTTTTCCATATGGAGGAATGTCTTCTCTCTGTTCTCTGTACCACAGGGGGGGTTGAATAAAACAAGATGGACTCCCTTGTGCCCCTGAACAGACTGTTGGTACTATTTTTCATGTAGAAAGTCTTCTGACAGATCTTTCTCATATATATTTACAAGTATTGTTGCATGTGTTGTCTATCAGCATAATTTAAAATGTGAATGGTGATAAAGCGCATGTAGGAAATTCCCTTTTAATTAATTTTAGTTGGATGAACAAAGCAGAAGCCCTGTCAGCTTCCCTCTTGTGGAGGCCATGGATGACTGTGTGATGTTTTGACTGAAAATAACAGGATTGAGGCTCTCACATGACTCTGAAACTCAGTAGGTGATCTTGGACCACTCCCTCTCAGATTTTATGGGTGAAAATGGGAAAAAGGATTGTTTATGCCATCCTGTCTTCCTTTTAAGAAATTCAATATGTGTGTGTGTGTGTGTGTGTGTGTGTGTGTGTGTGCAACTAATGAATAATAGATTTCATTATAAATAAATTTGGGGACAACTGTGATATTTCTGTAATCTGAGATGAAATATTCTACATTGAAATGGGATTTTGGCCTGCATAAATAAGAGTATAGTGTCTAGATCCAGGAAAGTCATTCTACCCTTCTGTTCTGCCTTGGTCAGACTATACCTGGAATACTGTGTCCAGGCCCGTAGCCAGGATTTTGTTTCGGGGGGAGGGGCGCTGAGTTTGGTTCGGGGGGGGGGGGCTGAGTCTGAGTGAAAGAGGGTCTACCCTAGCAAACCTTTTGTATCATTACCCCAATACCCCCATGCATATGGGATATATTGAGCATGGTGATCAGATCATGATATGAATAAACATAACAGTTTAAATAATGCACCAGTAAGGCCTTCTCGCGGACCACCATGAGAATTGGGGGGGGGGGCTGAAGCCCCCCAAGCCCCCTCCCCCCGTCGACTGTGTCCAATTTTGGGCACCCCAGTTGAAGGGAGATGTTGACGAGCTGGAATGTTTCCAGAGGAGGACAACTAAAATGATCAAGGATCTGGAGAACAAGCCCTATGAGGAACGGCTTAAAGAGCAGGACATGTTTAGCCTGAAGAAAAGAAGGCTGAGAGATGACATGATGGCCATGTATGTGAGGGGAAGTTATAGGGAGGAGGGAGCAAATTTGTTTTCTGCTGCCCTGGAGACTAGGACATGAAACAGTGGCTTCAAACTACAGAAAAAGAGATTCCATCTGAATGTTAGGAAGAACTTCCTAACTGTGAGAGCTGTTCAGCAGTGGAACTCTCTGCCCCGGAGTGTGGTGGAGGTTCCTTCTTTGGTGGCTTTTAAATAGAGGCTGGATGGCCATCTATTGGGGGTGCTTTGAATGCGATTTTCCTGCTTCTTGGCAGAGGTTTGGACTGGATGGCCCACGAGATCGCTTCCAGTTCAATGATTCTATGAAATAGTCAATACAGTGACTACTGAGGGAATTTTTTTAAAGGTATTGGTGCAGTTGTGTGTCTAATAGTCTGTCAACACAAATGTTTTAACAGTGTGCAAAAATATTGAGCATGTCATATAGTTTAGTCAGTTGTTCAGACAGCTGGATCTGACTTTTTTTTAGGAATCTTGAATAAGACCAATGTAGAAGGATTAAGACAATGTGGCAAAATTAGCACTAATGCATTTGGGCCTGGTATGTGGAATCCTTGGAATGGACTGGAGTCTGGCACAAAAAATGTCGGGAATGACAGTCATTAGGAATGACTGGAGGAAGATGTAGCCATGTCTTCCTGGTTAACAGAGGATAATGGGGAACTGTTTTTAACTTAGTCAGAATGATGATACTACTTCAGACTTAAAATTGAGGAAGATAAAATGTATATGAGGAAATGGAACAAGTGGCAATGGAAAATGTACCACTTTCATTCATGGAAGTTCCTGCTGGTTGAAACAGATTTCCACTTGAAGAAGGATATGACTCAATGAATACATATATTTCATTGTGCATGTGTTCAGTAAATGTGTTCATGTATGTCATCACATGTGGAAAGTTATAATGGAAATCAAAATATGCAATATTTGCATGTTTATTAATACAGGAAGAGCAAATAGTATGTCAATGAGTTTATTCTGCAAAGGAATAATCTTATAGTATTCCATAGTTCTCATTTTCTAATGACACTCTCAATAAATTGCTTCTTGTCTTTGTTAAAGCGGTGTCCCTGTTCTGTTTGAGATTTCTCTCTCTCCCTCTTTCTCTTTAAGAAATAATTGGCATTTGTGTATGCATTAAAATTCTTTAAATTTCAGTTGCTCTTCAAAGGTCTCTAGCAGTTGCATTTAGACTATATGTGCAAATATGTACAAATATTGCCCATAAATGCCTCTTCAGGTAGGTCAGGTTTCTACTGCAAAAGTCAATAGGCAGCGACAGACTTTGCAGATATTTGTTGAAGGAGTGGGGAAAATTTCAGACTATGACCCTTGATGGAAAAACAGGAGTATTCTAAATAGCCCAGAATGGCCTCAGATAAAAAGTCAGAAAGATGCATAAACTAGAAGGGGAATGGGCATTGTATGAAGAATTATCTCTCTCTCTCAAGCATGGCGTTTATAATGCTGGTATAGAAAATGTCTCCCTTTTTTAAAAAAGCATCAGACTGGCAGAAACAGAATAGTTTAGGGAGAACTATTTGGTTGGTATGTAGAAGAGCAAGGCTCAGATCATTAATTCCTTTATGAAGCTTAGTTTTGGACAAACTTGTTATCCCTCTTACTTGGTGAGTTTTGTGATGTCCTCTCAATGTAGGAGGGGATATGTCAACAAATGAATGCAGTAGTTACTCCAAACAAGCATACATTTCTTTCTATCCTCCTATGTGCTTAATTCATTCTGTATTTCTTGTCCAAGTCCCCAAACACTTTTCAAAAATCTAACTGAACTGAATAACTGCTACTTATAAATGGACTGAAACCACTGCTATGATAAACTAGACACAATTGAATTAGATTGCGACATATGGATAGAGAAATGAGGCAATTAATGTGAAACATGGAATTAGCAACTCGGAGGTGCTAATGCAGTGGGACAGACTGAACAACCGACACACCATTCTGGCATTTCCAACCCTCCTTTTATTTGGATCAGAATGGGAATATAGGTTGTCTTACTTTCTGGATATTCTGATTGATACTTTTGCTGCCGTTTACCATTTTGTTCCTGTTTTATCCTTCTCACAACATTTTGTAAGGTGGTTTTTGCATTGGACCAAAGCTTTAAGAAACTGAAATGGGATTGTTGGGGCTTACATGTGCATTTCCCCACTTTGGGGATTTCATTAAGAAAATATGGAGTTGAAGGCTGTTAGGAACAAACCCACCTCGTATGAATCTGCTTCAGTATCAGATGGCAGGAAAAAAAATCATGCAGTAACTGATGCCCATGCCAAACCCTGTATCAGGATGAAAACCCATGTTCACCTAGGGCAACATCAGCTTTATAGTTGCCCTCAACAGTCCAGTAGTTATGGTTAAGACTGAGTAAATGTAACTGTGTTTCCCTGACATTGAAAGCTTTGTGGGCCATATGAAATGATGTAGCAGGCTAGATTGGGCCTGTGGGCCTTGCATTTGACATGTGTGCCCTATGCCCTGCCATCCCATGGATTCCTTTGCAAGCATGCTCATTGAGGGGCTTCAGAGGATGGCAGGTGAGTTGTATAGGCCTAAATCCATGCTCTACATAAGAGCTCCAACAGCTGTTACCAATAAAATTGGGCCCAGTTTACTTTATTTATTTTGTATGTGGTTTGTATTCACATCTTCCCTTGCCTTTGCCTGGACCACCGAACCTGCAAATGATTTGTAGCTGAAATCTTGATGTTATTGAAAGAATTGTTTCTCCTCCCTTTCCCCTTTTTATCAATACAGGCTTTACAGAAGAATGGGCAGATATCTAGTCTAAATGGCATTACAGAAGAGCAAGTGGACCTCAGCCTCAAGCCAGACGAGCTGAATGGACAGCAGGCAGAAGTCATCGTAACAGATGGTAAGGAGATATGTACAACAACAGGAAATGTTACTTAGAACTGTGAAAAAGGCAAACAGGACGTTGAGCCGTCAACCATCTTCCTATACTATGTATATTCTTGGTTTATTATTTAAATTGTTGAACCTGAGATTTTTATTTGGAGATTTATTTCCCAAATAAATAATTGACACTAGATTTTTGGTATTACTGATCTTGGGACAAAAAATCCCAGGACTTCAGGAGAGGTCAACATACAGACCTGTTGGTCCTGGGATTTCTGCCTCTGTTGTCCAAACTTGATGCTTTATTCTGAGATTTAGACATGCCCAAGATGGCCGCCACAGGACTTCCACCAGAAACCGGCAGTTAAAAAAACCCAAAAACCACGAGATGTGGATATGCGGAGATTCAGTTATGCGGATCACCACAAAAGTTCTGTTTTTTTGTCCTGGCCAGATAAACTGTGCCCTCCACATATTTCATAAAGCACACAAACAAAGTTTCTGCCTTCTACTCAAGTGCCACTTTCTTATTAGGAACCAATCAATCAGGAACAAGCATCTAAAACCTGGAAACAAACCAGATAAAAAATCCAGTGATTTCCAATTACAGGGACATACAGACATGCGAAGATCTGAATATTCAGCTCAAAACCACGATATTCCCACACCTGGAAATCTCACATTTTTTGCCTTTTGTAGCAATGCTTCTGGGTTTACAGGGAACAGCATCTGGCCACCCTCCTGTTTGCTGCAGAAGCTTCTGGGATAAAGGTACTTTCTGGATGGGCCCTCAGAGCACCTCTTCTAGCAAGTATTGGTTTGGCTTTTGAGATCTTGTGTAGGGGGAGAACCTGCTTGTGGTCCTTTCTCTCGATGATGATTGCAGATTTATATAAGCAGGGGACTTTTTGACTTCAGTCCTTTCATAACAGAATTGCTGTCTAAGGTAAAATTAGGCATCTTCAGCAATCTTAAGGATCATCACTTCACTTAGACCTTTGATTCCTTTTTTAAAATTGTTCAAGAGACCTTTGGGTCTTTCATTTGTATTAAGTTTATAGTATGTAATTATGATTATTTGTTAACTGGATCTTATTAACTTGGAATTTTTGATAGCGTTTTTGTAGATTTATTTATAAACTACTTTCTGAGTTTTGGAAAAATAGTATATAAATCTTAATATGAATGAATAAATAAATAAATTTTAGAATGCAAGCATGGGCCTTGTGTTCCTTGAAACTTTTATTCATTAATTACACAGTGCTTGAGAGCAACACAACTTTACTTAACTCTATGGAAATAATTTATGTTGTATGATGGAAAGAGCCAGAGCCTTTGGCAAGACATTGGTTCTGCAATGGAAACTGTCAGCACATTTTTTCAGATAGAATTGGGGCATTGCTTTCAATGATGTAGTGTGACTTCCTTAGGCTGACAAATAAAATTCACTGTCAAGAAGCCAAAATAGCTTTAAGATTTTCATAATAATTACGTTAATATTTTGAAGCTTTTTCCGTGGCTTGGATATGCCAAAGTGGACTGTAAAGGGCAAACTAACAGCTTTTGAATGTTAGAATCATTTTCTGCCAGAGCACACCTGCTTTTGCTTTTGGGCTAAAGACCTTTCCATGTCTATTCATCATCTTGTCTATTTTATAAAGGAATTGTCCAGGCACACTTTTTAAAAGGCATAAATCAGAAGGTCTAATAATTCAGAAATACATTTTATTTGATCTCCTTTTAGAAACTAGTACTATGAATCCCTCAGTGAATTTCCTTCATCTCTTCTAATTCTGTATTAGTCACGTTGGCTGAATCAATTTGGCAATCCTAAGGGGACAGCATGGATGGAAAGTGGGCTGGGAATCAAATGTCACATACTGATTTCAGCTGACCAGCCTGTAGGCTTCTAAGTTGATGATTTATGAAAGCAGCCTTCTACAACCTGCTACTATCCAGATGTTTTTGGGTGGTGGATCATATCAGCCCCAGCATCTTCAATGTTCAGTAATGATGGGAATAGTCGTTCAAAACATCTGGAGCAAAGGCATAACTTTAGAAACCTGTCCATGCCCTTATTCACTGGTGTTGTGTGCCTTTAAGACATTTCTGCTTTATAATGACTTTAAGGCAGTGGTTCTCAACCTGTGGGTCCCCAGGTGTTTTGGCCTACAATTCCCAGAAATCTCAGCCAGTTTACCAGCTGTTAGGATTTCTAGGAGTTGAAGGCCAAAACAACAGGGGACCCACAGGTTGAGAACCACTGCTCTAAGGGCCCTTCCACACAGCCCTATATTCCAGAATATCAAGACAGGAAATCCCACATTATCTGAGATGGACTCAGATAACCCAGTTCAAAGCAGATATTGTGGGATTTTCTACCTTGTTATTCTGGGATATAGGGCTGTGTGGAAGGGACCCTAAGGCAACCTTATCATCTGGTTTTCTTGGCAGAATTTATACACAGGAATTTTTGCCTTCCTCTAAGATGAGAGAATGCGACATGTCCATGGTCACCAAGTCAGTTTACATGGCTGAGCAGGGATTCCAACCCTATTCTCCCCTTGCTCTAGTCCAATGCTCACACCACTACACCACATTTGCTATCATATTACTTTAAGCTTTTTGAGTTGTAGGCTTATTTATGATATTACTTTTCTTCTTATGCACAGAAAAAAGAAGTATAGAATAATACATTCAAAATAAAAATAACAATAGTGTGTCTTGTTTAAGTTCTACATTTAGGATGTTCAGTGAATTGTTTATGGTAAACAAACCCAATTTGATTTCTGATTTTAAATATGATGCAAGAAGGGAAATAAATGCTTGGTAGCTTCATCCACGATTCAAGCTAAAGCTGAAGTGCTTGAATTGAAGCCAGTTTTGTCCTACTGATTAAGGCAGCTTTAAGCAAAGTATTTCAGTTTGATTGGAAAATGCAAGGGATGATACAGTGTTTATATTCTAGACTTATTCTTTTCATGAATTATTTGGTTACAAACCTCAAATATTTAACTATAATCCCACTAGCAAGGAATTTAAGACACCAACCAAGCATTCCAACTGTAACTTCTCCAGCCATAATTCTGACGAAGCAGGCAGCTCTGTATACACTGTTTCAGTTTGGCTAAACAGGTAAACCCCAATTTAACAAAGTAGATGCATTTCTGGGTATTACCTCTTTAACAGAAGATTTAATACCAGAAGCAAGAAATAATATGGAAAGAATAGGGATAGATTCCCACATCACAAAAAGGAAGTATAGTTCAACAAATTTTAGTAACTTTTGATGCAAAACATAACAAGTGAAGCTAAACAACCTGCTTGCACAAATAACCAAAAACATTTGGACCTTCTCAAGGCTCTTTGAAAGTTTTTCCCCAAATGCATCTGGGAACTATTTTTTTAAAATTTTTTTGCCATCTTCAGATTTTCTTACAGATTCCATTTTGTGACCAAACTTATAGATCTATGTTTTTCTAATGTGATGGGATAGGTGAGAAAGCAAGACTTGGTCCCCTTCTAGAATACCATATAAAATCCAGATTATCTGCTTTGAACAGGATTATATGGCAGTGTAGACTCATATAATCCAGTTCAAAGCAGATAATGAGCTTTGATAATCTGGATTATATGGCAGTGTAAAAGGAGCCTTATAATCAGGCTTCCACAACATACAGCCTGTGAACCGGATGCAGCCCGCAAAGAGTTCCGTGCAACTTAATAATAATTGTTTTAAAATTTGTTTATGATTTGTAATCAGTGAATGGTTGCTTTGTATGCCTATTTTGCATACCTATAAACCTGGGATCAGGCAATTCTTTTCTGGCAGAGCAGGGTCAGAGAGGAAGAAGTTTAAGAAACACTGCTCTAAAGTACTTTTCATGGGTATGCAAAGGGCCAGTCATTTGATGCCTATGCCTTACACAGGCTTATATTTTGGGTTTGATGGTAAAGAAGCTATGGCTGTTTGAAATACGCATAAAAGATAATTGAATTGAAATTGTTTTATAGCTCAGCGTCAGACAATAGTGCTGACAGAAGAAAACATTGTCTGCAGCTTTCTGTGAAGCAGACAGTGTGACTCAAGGCTGAGAGAGTGTGACTCAGTCAAGATAGCCATTTACTGATTACTATCTTGTGTATGTAGCATTGTCCAGGAATGCATTTTCGAAAACTAATTATTGAAATACACATTGTTAATCATATCATGTTATGATGCTAAGCAATACAAGCTTGAATGCATTTTTCAGGGGTTTTTTTACAGTTTACATTTAGTCAATTAGCAAATTAGATTTTAATTTGATTTCATAATGAATAAATAAAATCTTTATTATATTATTATTATTATTATAACTTTATTTGTACCCCACTGGCATCTCCCGAAGGACTCGATGCGGCTTACACAGGCCAAGGCCTCAAACACAATACAACAATACAATACCTAGAGCAAATTAAAAACAGATTAAGCAGAGTAAACAACAGCAATAACAATACATTGAGACATCAAGACACTATAAAACTGGGCCAGGCCGGGGTAGTGGGTACAGAATTAAAAGTGCTGATGTGGCAGGAGGTATGTAGGATTATAAAATAGGTGCAGTGTGCAGTGTGCAGTGATCTTAATTCTATTAAAGTGCTTCTAGGATTTGGTATTGGGGGTTCCTAATCTGGAAAGGCACATCGGAACAGCCAGGTCTTCAAGTTCTTTCTGAAGACTGCCAACGAAGGGGCCTGTCTAAGATCTTTTGGGAGGACGTTCCAGAGTCGGGGGGCCACCACAGAAAAGGCCCTGTCTCGAGTTTCCACCAGGCGCGCTTGCGACGCGGGCAGGATCACGAGCAGGGCCCCTCCAGATGACCAGTTCAAAGCTTATTGGATTGTTTACTCCATCCTGTTAGTAGAAATTTGTCTTTCTTCAGTCCTCCTTCACAATCTTTCAAATGCTGATTTTGCTTAAAATAATTCCAGTTAGTCAAAGAAGATTGAAAAGGGGGTTGGATAGGCATAGAATGG